AACCTAACCTGGTACGTCCCCTAGGAGCACAAGTTCAGTACTTGCTAATTCAATGTTTACGGTGACTTTATAGATCATAACTAACTACTACAAATAATGAGAAACAAAAAAAGGGTAGAGAAAGCCACAAATTGATTTTTCATGATTTTTAATTATGATTTTGTTGTTTGGTTAGTTTCAAGAATATGAAAGGAAACTTAAGATCAACCTCCAATAAAGAAATAGAAATAACATTTTGTTTCCTTAACGTTGGTTACATGAAGTTTTGTAAAGCTCTGGAAACTAGAGAGAGGAAAGCAAACATAGATGTCATGCCCCACAGAGCTCTTGGATCCCCCATGATCCCTCGCTTTTTACATAGTAAAATGAGAGTTTGTTGATAGATATTGACTGACAGACACCCCAAAACTCCCATGGAATATTCCAGTTTCATAAAATTCTAACTTGAGAAACCTGAATACCCCACTGAAGACCTGAGCTGTTAGCACAGCAGAGGACTACATGTTTTGTAATCTCATAAAGAGTGGACCTTTGGATGGTTCTGCCCTATACTTTTGTTGAAGCAGAACCCTTCAGGATTCACATATGGATCTTTCATGGTAGGTTCATACTGGAGGGATTTCTAGTTTGAATCTCTTCATTTATGCGAGAGTGAGGTACTTGTAAGACAGACCAAAGAATTTACCAACTATTCTAGTTTTAACCAAAATCAGGCCATTCTTGATCTCTCTGTGGGTTGTATTTTTGTTTAAAGTTCAGGATTTTGTGTAAAATTCTTTTCATGAACATAAACTAAGACCACTAAGGAATATTAAAACAAACGTTATTTACCATTGACATTTCAAATCAAGTAGCTTAAAAAGTGACTGTTTTAATTTTTTTATCACAAAAGCATGCATTCCCTAAAGAATAACCAAAACTTCTTGAATTTAATAAACCAGAAACTACAAATATGCTAAATTAATAAACATAATGTCAGTGAAAGGATCTCAATACTATAAATAATGATTGTCATTAAATTTGCTTACCTCCTTTGGCACAAATAGAGACATAAAGTGTTTCCTTAAAAAAAAACTTTATTAGAGGAGACAAAAATTTGCTTTTGAAATCTGACTTAAATACACTAAATGCAGATTCTCCCTTGAATATACTTTGTATAAGAAAAAAAAGTCTGAATATGTTGTGAATGTGAATATGACTGTTGAAAGTAATTTCATATGTGGCTTAATGAAACAAATCTTGCTACTTTGAAATCCCACCATATATTGGTATTAAATAATTTGTTTAGATCTGAAAAACAAAAATGTAATGGGCATAATGTATCAATTCAGTGTTTGGGGCAGATTTGGGGTAGAAGAGAAGATTCTGACACTGTCGTGAGGAATCCGTGGATGATACTAGGAGTCAGGGCAGGCTAGGCATGAGAAAATTCAGAAAGGCTATCCAGCAAGAAGGAGGCTAAGGTCAAGGTCAGAGGATAAAAATTCCATACTCCCCAGCATACTGCCCCCTCTCTACTCTCATTGCCATGATATTACTTCAACCAGAGTCATATTTCATAATTTTCCCTCCACTCTCCCTCTTCCATTTCTCATCATTTACGGCTTATATCACTTCTTATAATAATGTCTGTGACCCCTTTACCACCTTTACCTCCTGCCACCACACTGATTCACCACATACGTAGAGCCTGCCACCACACTAATACCTCTCAGCTAGAACCCCATTTCTTGATGGTTTCTAGCAGAAGGTTCATTCCTAAAAATGGTCCTAGAAAATAAAAGTTTCCTATTGTTAACTAACATTTGAAAAATGCAGCATACGCCACTTTCCTCTTGGCCAGCCATAATATACGTTAGCATAAAACTGATATTTTTCAGAGCTGCTTGTCCTGGAACTCTATTTTCATATAAAATTCATCAACATCGAGTCATTCATGTTCCAGAAAACACACTTTGGGAAACAATTGCTTAGCCTATTTAAATGGCCTCTAAACTGCTCTCTTTACCTAATCTTTCCCTTTCCAATGCATCTAGCATGTCATCAATAGATTAATTTCTCGGATCTGCTTAACTGATTGTGTTATTCCTTTGCTCAAAACGTCAGTGGCTCCCCACCAATTCAAGCAGTGATTACTCATCAAGCTCTTTACATGGTACCAATATGCCTTTCCGGTATTATCTCCCCTTACGTGGCAGTGTGGCTTAGGAGAAAAGGATGAACTTTGGAGTCAGATTCAGGTTCAAATTCCAACTCTGTGTCTTAAAAACAGTAAAGCCATAGGCTCAAAACCATTTATTGCTTTGAGCCCTTTCTTTTTTTATCTGCAAGTGCAGCTGGTAATTGTAGAGATGGGGGAATGTAGTGAGGTAGTGCCTATGAGAGCTTCCTGCATAATTGTGTCACAACACTCCTGTCCCATGGGTGATAAACTCATTGGGCAGGTTGAGCCTCTTTCACGGGGTAGTCACTTAATGTCTGCCTATAGTAAGTGACCAGTGATTTTTAAAACTGAGAACCCAGAAAATCACCTATAAGCAAGTGTCAATGAAAACTTATTAATGCAGCAGTTCTCTGCCTTTATTTGGGGAAATTTTTAATGGGTTCTGAAGGGATAGAAGCCAGTTCCCAGAGCACATCTAAGCTTTTTAAGTGGAACTGTGTCATTGGCCCTTGGCTGAACGGGGTGTGCTAGGCCCAAGAATCTGCAGCAGTGTCTGCAAAGAAAATCTCTGATTCAGACAGACGAAAGAAAAGCCCACTGCAAGAGTCAGAAAGCTGTGCTTTTGTTAGATGTAGAAACTTTTAAAAGTGCTATGATTTACTTGAAAGTCCCACGTAAATAAAATAAATGGTCCTTAATAGCCCTTCCCAAGAAGGAAAAGGGATTTTTGTTTGGTTTGTTCACTAGTGTAGCCTAAGAGTCTAGAATAGTGTTTTGCACGTAGAGGGTGCTCAGTTAATATATGATGGATGGATGGATGGATGAATGAACAAATGAGAGGCCATGGCATATACCTCCTATAAGCTCAGCATAGGGCTGAGTATACAGAGGATCCTTAATAAATGCGTGACTGGCTAGATATATGGATTTATACCCTAGCCAGTCAAGGGCACTTAATAATTTATTATTATTTAATAATTAGACATTATTCCTATATATTTCTACTTTATAAAATATTTTTATATGCCATCTATACTCTTTCCTTTAAAATTTCTTTTTTATGATTCTACTGTATAAAATATGTTTATATATTGTCTATATTATCATTTTTTTTCTTTTAAAATTATCTAATCATTCACATTTCTCTCCTCACAACAGGGGAGTGTCACAGCTTGAAAATGGGTAAGGAGAGAGAAAGGAAATTAGAAGATTAAATAGATACTTTTAGTCATGAAGTTACAATTTTTTTGTCTAAATTGGTTTGAATACATTGAATAGAATGAAGAGAAAAACAATTTTTAAATAGCTGGAAGAAGATGGAGGAAAATGAGGCAAAGGGTGTGTAGAACATGTTTGACAAATTTGTTTGGAAAGAATGTAACGTTTATACACTCATTTTTTTTCCTGAAGCACTCCACTCAAGTTTTTATAACTATCATTCTCATATGAAGGAAGAATAGCCAAATTACTCCTTCACAGTTACAGAAGACAAGGCTCAGTAAAATTAATGATTTATCAATGAGGTACATCCAGGGGTGAATCCAGGTCTCTTGAGTACTTGGGAGTAAATACAGTTTTGGAAGTGTAACATAAGCCTGACACATTTAGAGAACATGAGCAGGGAATTTGGCTGGAATGAGGGGGGTATACAGGAAAGTCATAAGAAATCAGTTTAAAGAAATAAATATGAGCTAGATTACAGAGTACCTTAAGTAACACAATAAAGAATTTAGATGTTTATCCATGTCAGTCATTTTGAAATTTTTTTAAAGCCTTAAAATCCTTTTTAGAATAAGAAATGTTATGTGCGATGCCAATATGCAAAACAAATGAAAAGGAGTTGGTTCCTCCAACTGAAGCTGTTCCCTCTCCCTGCCCTCAGCCTCTGAGGAGAAAACTTTGAAAACTGAAAAAATTTGAAACCAAGAAAAGTTTGAAAAGTCATGAGTGCTGACATGTTTTGGGCAAGGTGGTGATACACCAAGAGGCATAGAGACGAGGTGGAGGGACTCACTCACTGTATAGAGAGGCAAGAAGCACAGGGGCGGGGCTCTCAGGGCTGCCAGTGGGCAAGCGAGGTAAGATGCCTGGAAGCAGGAGAAATGTCAGAACAGAGTCAGGAATAGTTCAAAGATTTACACTTGTGTAAATCAGCTGCAGAAGATGACAATATAATCACAAAACTGTGACGGGCAAAGGAGGAGACTGTTGGTTTTGATGAAAGACAATGATGTATTTTGAATTGTGTTTTAGTCCTTTAGTCATTTCTGTTACATTATGTTATGGTCAAAGGAATAGAAAGTGGCCCTTTTTGCTCTACCAGTTTTCTTTCCTTTCCCAAATAGTCCCAGGCATGAATCAGAAAGCTACACTTCGTTATATTATAAAAAAAAAAAAAATTTAAGTGCTTAAGATTTCACCATAACATCCAACATGAAGAAAATAAAATACAGGATCCTGAATGCCCCATTGTAAAAAGGAAAAAGGAATGCCCCATTGTAAAAATGCCCCATTTCCAGTTTTGTAACATTTTGTTCTTCTGAGTCTGGATAGCCAGCACTGAAGCCTTATCTTAAAAAATGTTTTTCCAGTGGAGTTAAGTACAATTAAGTGATTTACTTCAAGCATAATTATTTTGAAATCCAAGATTTTTCTTGTGCTTTATAAAATAAATGGTGAAAGTGAAACTTGTTCAATATGTGCATCCGACCAACTAATAGTAATTCCGATGAGTATAATTTTGATGGAGAAGAAGTAACAGTTTTTTGGCAAACGGCGTTTGATGAGGACAATCTCTTGTCTGAGTTTCTGAAACTTATGATGCAAGTGCTCCCGCCCTTTTCTGAGAACACAGAAAGCCTGACTCAGGCAGGCAGCTGCCGCTATTAAAACAGCTCCAGCCCTGCACACTTCCTTGCTGGGGTGAGCGTCGCCGCAAAGATGAAACCAGCGACCTGGTGCTGGCTGAGCTCAGCTGTCCTTGCTGCGTATGGTTGTTTGGTTGCAGCAAACAATGAAACGGAAGAAATTATGGATGAAACGGCCAAGAGCACCTGCCCGGTGAGACTAGAGAGCAGAGGGAGATGCGAGGAGGGGGGCGAATGCCCCTACCAAGTGAACCTTCCCCCGCTGACTATTCAGCTCCCTAAGCAGTTCAGCAGGATCGAGGAGGTGTTTAAAGAAGTCCAGAACCTCAAGGAAACGGTAAATAGCCTGAAGAAATGTTGCCAAGACTGCAAACTGCAGGCTGATGACAACCGAGAGCCAGGCAGAAATGGACTGTTGTCACCTGGCACAGAAGTTCCGGGGGAGGCTGATGGCAACAGAGTTAGAGAATTAGAGAGCGAGGTGAACAAGCTGTCCTCTGACCTAAGGAATACAAAGGAGGAGATCGACGTGCTTCAGGGTCACCTGGAGAAGCTGAATCTTGTCAATATGAACAACATAGAAAATTATGTGGACAAGAAAGTGGCAAATCTGACATCTGTGGTCAATGGTTTGGATGGCAAATGTTTGTCCAAATGTCCCGGTCAAGAACAAATACAGTCACGTCCAGGTATGTATAATAACACTTTCTTATCATTTGTTCATGAATGTTATGTAGCTAGACAATAACTATAAACATTAACCTGAGCAAATAAGTTAAATAAATGACAGATTAAATAAATTAAGCCTTTTATTTATCAAGGTAGTACAGGAAAAACTAGTATCTTTACAAATGTGACCACAGAAATGATACAGGACCCTACTTACAAAAATCATAATTAGTTCTGTATCTGTGAGAAAGCACTTTCAACTTCAAAGAGCTTTGCTGATTCCAGAGCTACACGTAAACAGAAGTAGAGAGATAGAGTCTCTTAATGTTTTAGGACATTTAACTTATTTATCTCTTCACCGAAGTATTTAAAAACAATGGAGATGAGGCAGTGTTTGCCGTCGGGCTCTGTTCTTGGAAAGTCAGTTTCTTGTGGTCTGCTGACTGCTCCTTCTCTTTTGGCAACAAGAGATCTTTGAAAGATTTTAGCAAGTAATCTGCAATTCCTAATCCCAAATATCTAGTGAAAATGCGAGATTTTATAGATGGAATAGAAGCAGTTATATAGTTTCATGTGTGTGCAAAACTTTTTGCTTTAATACCTAGGGGCATAAAAACATTTTAAGGGGAGTTTTGACATGCCACTAAGTGAAGGAATACATTCCTACTTCTTTCCCCTTTTTACCTTAAACTTTTTAAGGTAAACTTTTTTCAAGCATATAAAAGTAGAACCCATCCTCACCATCCAGATCACCTGAATTAACTTTAATAAATATATGTTAAAGACAACAAACCTAACTGCCTAGTTTGCCCATGAACCAGCTGTGGCACTGGTTCCTCCAAGCCCTGGTTTTCCAACTGAGCTTCTGGAACCACTGCTGCTGGTGGTCTTATTACCCTGTGGGAAGCCACTTCTGCATGAGGACCTCCACTTACCATGAGTGTGAGGTTGAAGGGACAGGGAGCACGGTCATTTGGAACCAGCATCTCGTGCGTGCTCCATCCCCAGGGAACCTGCCATTGAAGACAGGTGGGGGTTTCAAGGCCCATGGTTGCTGATATTCCGGGCAGCCCGTGTCTAAAGGTCCCCTGCATCTTACGTGACATTCTTGGACGCATATTAGATTCTATCGTTTATTTTTCTACTAAAAGTTTTGGGGAAATATCTGAATATTTTGAATTCTAAATACACATGAATAGATTTTTTTGCATGTGCCTCAGAGTAGCTTATATTAAACTTATCTTATATGGCACGGAATTTTTATAAAAATGATCTGGGAGTAAATATCTGTATTTGATTCCTACAGAATCATGTTAACTGATTATTACACTTATTCTGAATGTAATCACCTGTCATTTCTTTCTAGAAACCAAACATGTGAAATTTGGCTAAATGCTTTCCTGGATAATAAATTCAGAATAAAAATATTTGTATATTATTGAAAATTTTCTTTTTTACTTAGGCTTCTTTATTTAGTTGTCAAACAAGTAAAATAAATGTGAATGTATGATCAATGCTGTCCATAAGAATTGTAACACATCATTGGAAACATATCCTATAAAATGTTTTGACATTGGAGGCTATCAACCCCTTTAGGTGAAAGGATATAAAAGCCCATGGAATGGGGTTGGAATCATCTGACATTCAGGACCAAGGGATGCAATGCTTACGAGAACAAGCTTTGCAGCCAGGCAGATCTGAGTCCTGGTTCTGCCACTTCAAGCTTCTGTGAACTTGTGCAAGCCACTGATCCTCTTTGAGCCTAAATATTCTCACCAGCAGATTGGCAATAGTATCTACATCATAAGGTTCATGTGCAGGTTAAGTGTGAAAATGTTATCAAGCCTTTGGCAGAATGCCTAGAACATATGGGCAGCCCTCCCTAAAGATTACTAAATTACTAAAACGATTATTTTAATTTATACTTGTTGTTGTTTATTGTCGATGCTGTCAATATTACTACCAATGTTGGAGAGCCTTGTCTGCTTTGTAACACCAGGTTCTTGTTGTGAGGCCTTAACAAACATTTACGAAACAGGTTCAACTGAGTTGAGCAGAGTGAGGATTCCTTGTCAGCACTGATGGGATTGTCAGACTGCTTTTGAACATACAAAGAATTCTTCAGATGCATAGTTTTTATTAACAAAGCCCAACACTTTCTTTTCTTCCCCTTTCAGTTCAACATCTACTGTATAAAGATTGCTCTGAGTACTACACAATAGGCAAAAGAAGCAGTGGGACCTACAGTGTCACACCAGATCCCCAAAACAGTAGCTTCGAAGTTTACTGTGACATGGAGACCATGGGTGGAGGCTGGACAGTGCTGCAGGTGCGCCTCGACGGAAGCACCAACTTCACCAAAACATGGCAAGACTACAAAGTAGGCTTTGGAAACCTCAGAAGAGAATTTTGGCTGGGGAATGATAAAATTCACCTTCTGACCAAGAGTGATGAAATGATCCTAAGAATAGATCTTGAAGACTTTAATGGTGTCAAACTCTATGCCTTGTATGATCCGTTTTATGTGGCCAATGAGTTTCTCAGATACCGTTTACACATTGGTAACTATAACGGCACAGCTGGAGATGCCTTACGTTTCAGTAAACACTACAACCATGACATGAAGTTTTTCACCACCCCAGACAGAGACAATGATCGATATCCCTCTGGAAACTGTGGGCTCTACTACAGTTCGGGCTGGTGGTTTGATGCATGTCTTTCTGCAAACTTAAATGGCAAATATTATCACCAAAAATACAGAGGTGTCCGTAATGGGATTTTCTGGGGCACCTGGCCTGGTGTGAGTGAGTCACAGCCTGGTGGCTACAAATCCTCCTTTAGAAAGGCCAAAATGATGATCAGACCCAAGCACTTTAAGCCATAAATCATTAGTGTTCATTCCTCTGCGTATTCATTGCCTAACAGGGCAATTAATTCCTTCAGGACTTTGGGATACATTTTATACTCCTTTTCCATGGGTAGAAATTTATCTCTGAGCAGTGGGTTCTAATGAAACACCGCATTTGAAATAAAACTGAAAAATATACATTTTAAAGGAGTGTTTTGTTACTGGTATGCTGTTTTACAAATGAATACTTGCAAGCAATTGGGAATATTGAGAATTACACATTAAATTTATAATTCAAATTCTATTAATTGAAAGTTTTCTTTCTTTACTTGCTGTAATTTAAAAATAATTGTTTAATCAACAGGCTAGATTTTACATAAGTAATTTGCATTTTGGATGTGGCAAACACATCTGAACATATATCGCTCTTTTTGGGCTACAAACAGTTATTTGGGTAACGTTTGTTTGTTTGTTTTCTTTTTTTTTTGTCTCTAAATACCCTAATCCTCATTCTGAGATAAACTTATTCAATTTATGGCATTTACTTTGGGACAGGAAGACCCTACAGCATTTTCGTTCCCAGGCAAAGGGAAATATACCTATATAATTAAACCTGTTCATGTACCATTCATGAAATGTAAAATGTCTGTTATTTAAAACATGGTAGCATAATGTCACTCCTAAAAGCATTCAGAAAATTAATTTAACCCTAAAGACATTAGTTTAAAGGTAATTCGTTCACAGTTTATAACTCTTTAGATGTTTGATGGTGAAAACTGCTTTAACATAAAAATTATTTTCCTTTGTTCGGTATGCCCAGTATTTTTTAATGTAAGATTGCTCACTATAGTGTGAGACTACTGGTAGGGTTTCCTGTGGAGAAGTAGGTGTGGGTGGGGAATGAAGCATTTATTTATAGTCTATAATACTCTGAAGGCCAATTTTATATCCAAAGCAATAATAGCTTTAAAGCTAAGTTTTATAGGACAAATAGATAAATCTATTTATAAAAAGCATATGAATTTTCAAATATATAGGACGTAATTAAAATATTATACATGTTAACCCTAACTGGTGTATTGCTTATTTAACTATCAAAAGATTCAAATACAGGTGTTTATTTTTTTAACCAAACAAAAGTATCTGGACATTTTATGTAATTCATTAATTCTGGAATGCAAGAATCATATTCAAAAGATTATAAATAATGTGTTAAATTTCATCATGTAAAAAAGGGATCATTTCAGAGAGAACAACAGTATTCTGCTGCATGTTTAAAAATGCTCTAGCATAAAATTTGAAATAATACACCATGCTATATGTGAATCATAGACATTCATTCAGTCTTAAATTTAGTGTTTCTACTACAGTAACCAAGTTTTCAAAATATATTCACAAGTGCATTGTTAGTCATTATTTAAAAATAATGTTGTTTTAGATACAAAGTTAATTTTTCAAATATTGCCCTTTATACAAAATTCTAATAAAAAAGAAGCAAAATATTCTTTTAAAAATATATAACATGCAAAGATTTCAGGTAAATAAAATGAAAACTAAGTTATTATGAATACTTTTAAAGTGTTAAAGAGAAATGCAAATAGAATTAAGGATGACTGAAATGTAAAATATCATTGTAGAATTCAAAGGCTGTATATCTAGCCAATAGGGTACCAAATGTTGTAACTGATTTACTCTATTTCTCTTTCTCTTTTTTTTTCTTTTTTTAAGGCTAAGAACATTTTCATATTATACAATGTATTTATTACAGATAAGGGCATTTTTCATTTGCTGTCTATAATTATTAATATATGTATAAGTTTAAGTAAATTTCTATGATCAAAAATGGACTCCTCCAGAATACAGTTCTAAAGAAAAATAGCTCATATAGTGAGTGTGCATGGATTTAATGGGAAGTAGGTATTGCAGGAGAATTTGGCATATAATTCATTAATCCATGTAAATACTCAAAAGCTTGTCTTTCTATATTTCCACCTTATTTCAAAGGATCAAAATTTTATTTTCTAGTAGACTTTTATGGCACTTTTCTAATAAAAAAAATTCTGTAACATAGAAATTCCTTTTTGGAATAATTTCATGTCACTTATTATTAAATTAAATATACTTTAGATTTTTATAATCTTTAACATGTTGATGGAAATAGATTATATCTAAAAGAGTCTTTTACCTTGAGATTACTATTCACTAATATATGCTAATGTTCATAAATGAGGATTCACTATCAACAAATATATTATTTCAGAATCTTGTCTTGGTTCTATTTTAATGGCCAATATTCATTATCTTAATAAAGACTTTATTTTTGAGCTTTATCTTTCTTTGAAAACATTGACTAAAACTGGTTCCTTAAAACTTCTAAGTGGAACTGATTCCCTCATCACTGAGACAAAAAAATCAAATTTTTCTGATAAGTAGTGATGCTCAAAATGAATGACACATCTGTCTAATAAATAAAGAGCTTAAATATAAAAGGCATAAAAATATTCCAGTAACAAAATTTGCTGTTCCTTATTTTTGAGTAGCTACTCAGACAAGGATTTTAATGGTAAAAGTGATGGGAAATATCATCATGATATGATCTTGTTTATAATTCTTATTTTCCTTTATGTATAAATAAGTTTATGTTTCATGTCTTTTAAAAACCCTGTAAAATAAAAGATTTAATCTTCACATTAATTTATTTCTTCAATGTGGAAACATTAATTATTGCCTGTGAAATAATATTTATATAATACTCTTGTCTGAAAAGCTGTATAATGTTTACCTGACCAGACAATATCTTTGACTCTTTGAAGATTTTAATGAGTACTGTTTCATTAACAGGAAGCAAACACAGGGACACTATTATCTTATTTCCTGTATTCGAATACTGTTGACATATTTGAAATACAAAAGTTTCAGTTTCATTCTGCGATATTCAACTCGATCTCCTGTTTTTCCATCGTTAATATTGCTGCTCTGGTTCAGACCCCATCATCTCCTTAGGATAATGCAAATGTTTCCTAGTAGTAACCTGTGCCTCCAGGTTCGGTCTATTCCAAACTATCCTCCACATCACCACCAGAGGGATTATTACAAAATACAATTCTGATCATGTGATTGTCCTTAAAACCTTTCAACAACCCCTCATTTCCTATATGATAAAATCCAGCAAATAAGCCCCTTCATGAAAGGTTTCTGCCGATCCTTTCAACATCCTTCTCTACCACTACTCACACTCCTACCACACTGAATGCCTTGTTGTCAAACAAACCATGTTCTCTCATACTTTCATTATTTTGTGTATACTGTTCCCTTGGTTTAGATACAATGCCATCTTCAACCCATGCTGAGTTTTGTCTCCTCACCCACGATTAAGAGGAGGGGCTCAGTAGCCAGATCGCTAGGTTTAAATTTTAGCTCCACCATTTGCAAGTTGTGTAATCATGGGCAAAGTCAGTTAATCTTACTCACTGTTCTTTTTTCCCTTCAATTATAAAATAGAGATAATAAGAGAATTTGCCTTTAGAGTTAATGAGGATTAAATGTGATAACATATGTAAAGCACCTAGAACATACATATATATCATCATCATCATCATCATAGCATCATCATCATTATCGTCATCAAAATAGTTATCTTTTCTGGGCAGTCCTCCCTGGTGACATCAGGAGGAGTTTGAAACCTCCTCCTTGGTCCTATATATTCCTTATTACACATTACATTATTCAACAATTGTCCAGGTTTTATCCTAAAATCCATCTGTTTGTCTAGGATGTAAAGGATATTTGAGACAGGAGTTGTTACTCACAGTGGTTCATAAATATGTTACCACAAAGGAAGGGCTGTAGTCTAAAGAAGCCGGAGTTATAGTTGGGGAAATAGCAGGTACTGTCAGACTACAGGATTTGGGAGATGGTAAATACAGGTGAGAAGTGACTGAAGCCAAAGGAGAATCTGGAAAGACGGGATCACATACATACTATAGGATCGGGCACACAACGATGGCAAACTTCTAGAAGAGGTTCTGGGAACGTGCCTCTGGGTACACGTCACACGGAAGACTACAGCTTTGCTGGGCTGGACAGTGATCGTTCTACCTCAGTTCCTAAAGAAAAAGCATTTTTCATACTTCTTTATTACATTGTAATTTTGAAATTAATTTTAATCATGTAAAATCCATGAATGCTTTAATTTCTTAAAATTACAGATTAGGGCCAGCTGAGTGGCTTGTTGGTTAAGAGTTGGCTTGGGAGCGCGAGCTCTGAGCAGCAGGGCCGCCAGTTTGGATCCCACATGGGCCAGTGACGCTGCACCCTCTATAGCTAAGATGGTGAACAACAGCTCAACCTGGAGATGGGCTGCTGTGGGTTGCCGGCGACAGTGTAGGCTGCAGTGGGTTGCCGTGAGCTACTGTGAGTGGCCGGCAGCCAGTGAGAAGGGCCAGCAGCCGGTGTGAGCCTCCGTGAGCTACTGTGAGTGGCCGTCCAATGGCAGGCGACCGACCGCCTCAGCCAGGAAGAGCGCAATGATCACAATACCAACATGGGCCAGTGAAGCGATTTCCTCCACAACTAGACTGAAGAACCAAAGGACAGCAACTTGTCTGTTCCCCTTCCCAGATTTCCCCAATAAAATCTTAAAAAAAAAATACAGATTAGACTAAAGACCCCTTTGGAAACCACCTTCACTCCCAATCCTCTCCCTCTCCCCAGAGATAACAGGTAGAGTTGGCTGAATCCAAATTGTAATTTCATGTTGTGTTGCCAAGTTGCAACATCCAGTGAATCATAGCTTTGCCAGGTTTCTTTTGTTTATTGATGGGGGAGAATTGGAAATGAGAATAGAAACGATGGAAACTGGGCATATTTGGAGAACTCAGAGCTCCCCAAATTCCCAAATGGGACTGAGCCTACCTTATCCTTGAAGTGGCCCCTACGGCTCTTCTTGCTGGAAGACTTTTTCTCCTGAGGAAGCAACCTTAATTCTCCTTTAGGCTCCTTCATCCCACCCTTCAGCATCTCCATAGCTGTAACCAGGATGTGCCCTAATGTCAATTATAAAGTCAAATCGTAGGAAAAGCCTTTATACTACTTTGTTCCTTTATATCAGCAGAAAACTGGGGAATATATGTGGGGACAGATTTTGAGGTCGCTTGACTAAGGAAGAAAAAACAGAATTTCATATGTGACTGAAATAATTAATATAAGTATATTTAGCAGAAATTCTGAGTTCAGTAGGGTAATTTGAGCAGATGTTTTTGGTTCTAATAGTTTGCCATCAGATTAGTTAACACAAACCTAGATTCAACAGCAGCTCATGCTAACTAAAGTTGAGAAGCCAGAAATGTGTTGGAACTAAAAGGCTTATAGAGATAGAAATGTCAGAGTGGATTTAGCTGTAATTTATTCAAAAAGTATGTGTTGAATATTTACCATATGCTGGCTGTCTTGTAAGAAGCTAAAGATATATCAGTGACCCGAGCAGACAGAAAAGCCCCTGTACTAGGGGAGTTTATATTTTATCAGAGGAGATGAATAAATAAACAATACATGAAAAATGCCATAAAAATTCAGCAGGGTAAGGGAGAGAATGAGTATCAGAGGAGGTGCTATTTTATATAGGTGGTCTGGGGAGACCTCTCTGAGGAGGTGCCATTTG